TTTGATAGTTATCCTTATCCTCTTCTTTTTCCACCAGGTTCCTGAAATCCATGGTCAGTTATCCGGAATTGCTATCATCCATTTGTAACTTATATGTAACTAACAGAAAAACAGAATAATTAATCCCCTCCCAGTTATGTGAGAAGTGGCCAAAGACAAAATGTCGTAAAGCAAGAGTTTTGGATGTAGATACATGTTATAGAAGTAAGCCTGGATCATTGTATCTGGTAAAGAAATATGAATGTATGCAGTACACATACCTATGTTGGAGTCCTTAAAAAGTTTCTGCAAAGCTACAATATGCCCATCTGCCAGATCAAGAACATGTATGTAATCCCGCACCTGAAATAAAAATAATGTTATCAAGGAGGATAATTTTAAACTGCCATAGGCCTTAAAACTGGAAAAAAAATATCGAGAAAAACATGGACATAACTAAGACCCTATACAAGCTGGTCAATTAGAATTTGTTCCACAGTGAAGGAGCTGGTCAGATTTATGGAAAATTAATTTAAATTGCTCTAGGCTTAAACTGGACAAACTATTCAGAGAGCCGAGAGGCATGGATACTATACAAGCTGGTTAATTGGAATATGCTCCAAAGTGAAGTAGCTCGTCAGAGTTATGGAAAATAATTTTGAAGTGCCATAGGCTTAAACTGGAAACAATATTCAGAAAGACATGAATGTAACTAAGCCTTTATACAATCTGGTTAATTGGGATATCCTATTTTTACAGTAGTAAGAGGAAGAACGCATAAACTTTTCAACTTCTAGCTGCAAATGCAAGATTCAGACCATTTAGTTAAGTTCAGCACGCACGTACGCACGCATGCGCCCACATGCACTCACGCTCACACGCTAATGATTAATCTTAAGAAAATGTACCATGTGCCATAAAAACTAGAATACTCCATTTTTTGTTTTAAAGAAACCTCTTAAAGGGCTTACAAGCACCAAAAAAAAGAACTTAGGTATAATGAAAGAATAAGTTACAATACCCCAGTTCCATCCTTTGTCTTGTAATCAGTTCCATATACTGTAAGAGCAGGTCTCCTCCCAACAGCAACCTGCTGTATGTAAGGCATGAGGTTGTTAGGAGTTCCACGAGGATCCTCACCAATATATCCACTGGGGTGAGCTCCAACAGGATTAAAATATCTGAGTAAAATTATTTTCCAAGAGCAGTCTGATACATATATGTCACGACACATTTCTTCAATAATGAGCTGCAAACATTGATATCATGTATCAGTAAAACAATACTTGTATAAAATCACAGATCTCTAGGAAAAAGATAACGATGCGACCTTAGTCCTTCCATATGGATTTGCAGCAGACAGGGGAAATTCCTCTGTACAGGGAACTTCCTTAGGCCATCCATAAACAGTTGCCGAAGATGAAAATACAAGCTGAGGGGAAACAACATCAGGAACCACATGATTTTCAGACACAAACAGGTTATCACGTTTAGTAAATAATCGTGTGCGCAAACATGCGCACGCACACACGTATTATATGTGTGCATGTGCGCAACAAGTTTACTCCAGGTTCATGAAAAATGTGCTCATTTATACTGTGTATGCAGTAAACATCTCAAAACAGAGACCAAACCTAGCGAAGTACAGAACACGATGAATAACATTATTCCAAAATATCATGGTCACCGAACTAAATCTAGAACTATTTGACAATCTAATCTAACAGCATTTAACAGATAACATAGAGAAACAGGCAGCTAATGTTGACATTCAAAGTTCAGACAGTAGATATAATATAAACCGTTAAGGTGAACTTGGTATAAAAATTACTTAATATATAACATATACATGTAATTTCTCCCATTGATGATCTTTCGCATGTGATCATTTAATTGGTTTTTAGCAAGTAGTAACAATAACCAAGTTTCTATGTACAATATACATCCCCAAAATGACCTAAATTACCTGGATACTTCTATCATGGCCCACACCCAACATATACAAAACAATATATATCCCCATTATCACATATGTTACCTGGGTACTTGTATCATGAAGCCGGACCCGTACCCGATACATATCGAACACTCCTTGGACAATTCTATCATGTATTTTACCAATATTAGGCACCAGCACTCCTTAGAAACTCGTTGAATATATGCATACATTTATTCAAACGTGTGCTCGATTATATAATACATGTTTTGATCTAAAACACTCGTCATACACTTTTTGAGATTTTTTAAACTCGTTCGAAGGGTTCATTTGAATCTATACCCATTTAAGAACTATGATTTTATAAGTCATTTGGATATCTTGTTAAAAGACAAATGATAACCAATTTATAATGTACAAAATAAAAGAAACATAAAGATGCCATAGGAATTTTTTAATTTCCATAGCATGTGAGTGAAAAACTATTACTTATCTTATGCAAATTAGTAATTTCAATATATGTATATAGCTGCAGCCCTGTACTCGTATCTTTTACAAAGTGTCCCATACCTTGTACCGCACCAGTACCCCTACCTGTGTCCACGCAAGAGAGATTATGACAACACAGGACTGCTATTGTACTGGAAAACTCGGCGAAAAGAAAAGTGTCTATCATCAATACCACTACTAGAATCAAATTGACGTAAATCAGAACACAACATTAGGAAACTCAAACCTCTTAAAGAAACAAAATACTATAAGTTTGAACAAATATCACAACTCTAAACTCAGAGGGGTCCATGAAAGGAAAGGGCATGCCATAAGTCTGAGCGATCCGGATGTAAGGTTACTGGACCTACCTTTCTGCTCAGTTAGTTTAATCTCCTGGGGAAAAAACTGAGTAGCTACGTGAAAGAGAAGTTGCCTGAACCTCAGGCACCAACCAACTGCATAACTACCTGAAAGTCTAACTACTTTGCAGTTGTATTAAGTCTTTCAACAATGATATCCTTACCTGAATATTGCATAACTATTCAATTCCAGAGTTCCAAAATTAAGCATAACATTCACAGCCAATTTGTCAAATGGTGCTTGCACAAAAGGGAGGATTGACAAGAGGAAAAGCAATGATTGAAATCTCGAAGGGACACAAAATTAATATTTCTTAAAAAAAGCATACAGCTATATCCCTTGAGTGTAAAAGGAATGACATACATACACACACAATCATAGAAAAGCAATGATGCTCACAAAAGCATGTGTGCACACGCATACACATATCAATAAACTCATATGTGAGTGTGTGTGTATATAACGTTACACATATAACTACAAACATGTACATATGTAGATACATATTCATACATATGATACAAATAATTATTTTACTTGTTTAATAACAATGTAGCAGGAGAGACTCTAGTCACCATGTTGATATGTGATTGCAAAATATGATACATAAAACGAATCTGAGATACATAGTCCCTGTTATAGTATAAAATTATAACCCTCCACCTTCATCACAACATAAAACTCTGGTGGTGCGGAAGGGACCTTAAACATGGTAATAGAGCAACCTAGGTTTAAAGAACAGGGTCATGCATTGAAAGCCAATTTTTTAAGAAACATGTACATATGTAGATACATATTCATACATATGATACAAATAATTATTTTACTAGTTTAATAACAATGTAGCAGGAGACTCACCATGTTAATATGTGATTGCAAAATATGATACATGAAACGAATATGAGATACATAGTCCCTGTTATAGTATAAAATTATAACCCTCCACCTTCATCACAACATAAGATGGTGCAGATGGGACTTAAACATGGTAGTAGAGCAACCTAGGTTTAAAGAACATGGTCATGCATTGAAAGGCAATTTTTTAAGAAAAAGAAAAGGTATTATTGTGTTAGTCTAAGGTTTCAGCACATAAGAAAGTGCTCAACTTGCATAGGCATGTTAGAGTATAAAATTATAAAAACTAACTCTAAACACTCGCCTAAATTACAGAGATTTGGTGCTTCATAAGGGTCCCCATTGATGAATGTCCCAGAATACATGGAGAAGACATGCATTAATTATTAGAATTGAATGCTTTGAATAACTTCAGAAAAATACTTAGAATAACTAGTTATCATTTATAGAAGTTAAATTGAAACAGAGTGTTACATATGTGAAATCTATCATATAAATTATTAGAATTGAATGCTTTGAATAACTTCAGGAAAACACTTAGAATAACTAGTTATCATTTATAGAAGTTAAATTGAAACAGAGTGTTACATATGTGAAATCTATCATATAAATTACTTAAACTATCTGAAACAGAAAATACTTCATATAAAGAACTGTTAAATGAAGAACTAAGATATACAAACATGCAAATAAACATAAAAACATGGACTTTATATTAATATTGCATAATATTTTTTTTCCATAAGAATATATGTATTATTTAACTAAAGAAACTATTCCCTCATTAATGTGTGTGTGTGTACACACATGTACATGCAAACACATTCACACACATGAGCAATTTTTTTGACTA